TTCACTGGCCCATGTTGGTATTATCATTGTACTCTTCCCAGGTGAGGCAGTCGCTCGCTGACCATTCGGCCACTCACAGCGGCTCACAGCAGCTCACGAAAGCTCACGCCAGCTGCCAGCCAGCCCCACTGCAGCCTACGCCATCACCAGCGACTCACAGCAGCCCAGCTCCAGGTCGAGCTGTTGTTCACCATCTTAGCTGTAGAAGGCACAGCATCACTGGTTCTCATGTGGGACCTGAACCGGAGCCCTCCTGCTCAGAGCTGGTGTCCCAAGCCAACTCTTAACCAACGCGCCACTCGGCCAGCCCAAAACTGTGATTTTTTATGTAATAATAATTATAGGAAGAAAAAGCGGGTTTGGTCTTTAGAATCTCCAAGGTCACCTTTTGGTCTAAAATTCTATATAATTCCCAGTACATGTGTATCACTAGGGGTTTTGGACCCTCCACTGATAATGGCAGGATGCATGACAGTTTTGCTAATAGCAGTGCTGCTTTGACGTGTCACTGCCTAAGATTTCTAAATCTTGGACAAGATTTCAGTGTCATCTGTAGAACTTAAGTGCACAGCTGTGATCATTCATGGTTTGTCCATGCTGCCACAAGACTGAACATTGTAGTAGACCATAAAAAGTGTAGCTTGTAAATGTGACATTTTCACTTTCTCTCTCTTTTTTTTTTTAATTTTTTTTTTAGCTGAGTCATCCTGCCACCTGTTGGTGGCAGCTCAGCTCAGGCTGGGACTCAAATGGCTGCTGCTCAGAGCTGACACTCTTGAGCGAGCTCTTAACCAACTGAGCCACTCAGCCGGCCTGTGACATTTTCATTTTGCTACATTGTTGTAACACTTCTACCAGTTTCTTTAAGACAAGGAGATAAGCCCAGTGTACAGGTATAAAGTGGTGCATTTGAGCGTGTGGCCACATGCCTGACACTCCCAAATTCTTTTCCTTTGTCCTCACTGAACAGAAGTTGGCATGGGGTGTCTTAGCCCTGGGCCTCCAGCCTGCTCAACATAAGGGGTAGGAGGTCCCCCCAGCTGCCCAGGGGTCTGTGCTGGGACATTCCAGCCCCCTGGCAGCCAGCTGCAGAGTAGGCATGCCCTTCTTTGAGCCACTGTGGGAGGAATGCGGTCTGGGCCACCCTCAGCCTAGCTCTTACCCAAGTCAAAGCTAACCATTCAGCCCCTGGTGTGTTTCAGGTCCAAAGCCCCTCGGGTTCTTGACTATTCCCACCCCTTGTCCCCATGGTCTCATTCTTTGCCCCCACAATCAAGGCAGTGTGGGCCCCTTGTGGGTCAAGTGTCCTGGGTTAGGTCCCAGGCTCTGGTGACCCAACCCAGTGATTCCTGACTTGTTGCTCCTCTCTCCATCTGCCCCATACTTTGTCCCTGTATCCAAAGCCTCTTTCCCTTCTCTTCTTTCCCAACAGACCATAGAGGACCCCTTAAAACCAGAACCCAAATCTTTAGCACTCCAACCCCCAAAAAGTGTTCCTCTCCTGAGCAAAGAGGACGCTGTCTGTTGGGCGCGTCACTTCCTTTGTCAAAGAGGGTAGGTGCTTATAGCTACTCAACCGGAGGACACAGGCTGTTGTGAAGGTGGGCAGTTGTCCTCGTGCCCAGCCAGCCATGCCCACTGCTCAGGCCACTGAGTGGCCGGGCACAACCACTGCGTGGTCGTAAGCTGTTCTTCCACAGACTCTTAACAGAACATGGAAGTAAGGTTCATGGGAAATAAACAGTTTCTAAAAAAAAAAGTGCACATTTTTGTACACAAATCTTTTTTCTGCTTCTCTAATTATATCCTTAAGAACATTTTTAAGGCTCTTGTTACATTTTTCCAAATTGATTTCCTGGAATGCTTTTGCCAATTCATCCTCCTACGAGAGCGTTAATTTCATAATACTTGTGAATGTTGTCTTTATTTTATTCTTTAAATATTGCATTTCTGTGTTTTGAGTAAATGTGTAACATGGTTCATGTAGGCTTTTCTCTCATTCCAGAATCACGGCTGAGGCCCAAAACCATGGACCAAAGATGTTAAGAATTCACGTTCTGAGACCCCCCTGGGCTTACCAGAGGAATGCTGGGGGCAGCCCACTCCATCCTGCTGCTCTCTAAGCCCTCTCACCTCTCCAGTCAACATAAATGGTTTTGTTCACTGGTAGCAGTTGGGCTCGGCCAGAGTTATTGCTAATCAGGAAACATGTGCCACCTAGCAAGGAAAGAAAACTGGGACGCGATGGTGAGAGGGGGCACCCGATGGGGAGCACACACATCGTTTGGCTGGGCTGCTTCCCTGAAGTAAGATTGTGTCAGTTGAATGGATTCTGTGAGTGACACGAGGCAGCTGACTCAGAAGGCTGCCCACTGGGTGGGTGTGGGAGCTCTGGGGAACCAAGGGAGGCAGAGGCTGTGCGAGAGGGCATGCTGGAGCTGGACTTGCCATGTCAGGGGACTGTGCACATTCACCCTTCACGGAGACTCTGAAGGCCCCCTCCCCATGGAAGCTCCAAGTTTTGGGGGCCGCCTCACAGAGCCCAGTCAGCATTAGCCAGAGGAGTAGGGGTGACTGACAAGAAGTGGAACCTACCATGAGGTAATGAAATTGAAGTCCAGGGCCCCTCACCTGCACGAGCCCATTTCCATTTTAATACTCGAGGGTCTTGAACACTTTATCAGTTTTGTAAACTTCAGGTCTGGATCTGCACCTGACAGACGGTCACATAGGAGACCTCTGTCTCCCACTTCTTTCTCTGACACCAGAGATGCCTGTGGCCCAAGTTCAAGAACCTGCCCAAAATGTCTGTAAGGGACTGGCCACCCAGTGGGAAAGAGCAGTTTGATTTGGGACAAAGTTATTGGGGGGGATATGTGTACTTCATGTTATGTTTCAATGGATTGACTCAATTAGATTCAAAAGTTATGAAAAGGTATACAGCTATGGTTCCCAAACTGTATGCTGAAATGCCCGGTGCACAGCACTTCACAGGGCTGACAGGCGTTTCTGACTTCCCAGGACACAGCAATGTCTGTTGGGCAGCACTCGAGCTACTCACTCAGGGTAGCTCAGCTTCAACATTCTATCACACCACACTCTTTGCGAAGACATATATCTTTGCAAATCTGGGATTCTGTGGGTGCCATTGTAAAAAGCAAGTAAGCACCATGTGTATTTTCATTTCCAAACTCTTAAGATTCCATAATCTCCAAGTTCTCTTCTAGTTTTAAAATATCATTATCTGTGATCCATAACAATTGGCTTTTTCTTTGCATCAGAATGTCAGCAGTGGAGATAGTCAGTAACTATACTTTTGCTTAACAAATGTTTCCAGAGAGTCCCTAATTTAGGAAAGACACAACATTTAGTAAAGTTGGCTTTTATAAAACAGATCCCACTTAAAAAAAAAATGAAGCCCTGAGAAAACAAACCTATGTGTCCAAGGAAAAGTACATTACATACTCAGTCACTTTTGGTGAAGGATCAGTAGGAATAATTTTGGAGCCCATGACATTGTTAAAGAGAAAACTTTCACAGCTCAAAACTTTTCCAAAAGGGTTTATGGAGCCACATGCTAGCCAGAAAGGATGGCCATGGGCGTGCCATCTGAGCCACCAGCCACAGGGCTGGATGAAGACAAACACGTCTGCAGTCCTGGGTGCTTTTATATTTATGTTTCAGGGAAGAAAGGTGTTAGCTGTTTTGAAAGAATTTACAAATTCCCTTGGCTACAGACAAGGGAACTGGAATAGGTGAAGGGGGACAGTTCTATGATAGTAAATACATGGTCTGAAAAGGAGAAATATTTACTACTTTTGACTGGTTACAGGCAACAGTCCTGCAAGTTCATGCACAAATGGGAGGGGCTGGACTCTGGTGGTCTTTAATCCAAGTTCCAACAGATGTCCAGGAATTGTGAGCAGTCTATTGTCAATTGGCCCCCAGCTATTAACTGGTTAATTACTCTTCTCTTTCTCTCACTCTCTGGAGGTGGACTGTAATTTCATTTAGGACAGCTCAGACTTTTTCTCCTGTCAACATCATAAGCATTAAAGGAGTACCCTAAAAGCAGAGGGGATAGATTTGTGAAATGTTCTCTATTCCAGGAACATTTTAACCAGGCATCTAGACCATAAACATGCTCTTTCTGCCTGGTGAGAAATTACTGAAATTTGCACAACTTTCTTCAATTCTTCTTTTTTAGGATATAAAGAGCAGGTGACTAGGCTGGAATAATACTCCTTACCCCTCCCCAGGAGAGTGTTATTGTTAAATAGTAAATCAATAAATTTGAACAAGAGTCAGGCATTTGGAGGAGAGGTTAAACTAGTAGGTAAATTATAGTGTCTTCCAACATTGAGATTCTGCAACTTCAATGTTTGCCCCAAAATTCATGACTCCATTATAGGAGATGTCTGTAACCCATTTTATAAAGCCTCTAAATTAAAAAATACTCTGTGAATTTGAAAGGAAGCATACTCATCCTCACATTTGGTAAAACACTTTTCCTTCTTACTCTTTCTTAAAGAGTGCCTAGGGTCGGCCGAGTGGCGCGTTGGTTAAGAGCTGGCTTGGGACGCCAGCTCTGAGCAGCAGGGCCCCGGTTCAGATCCCACATGAGGGACAGTGACACTGCCCTCTACAGCTAAGGTGGTGAACAACAGCTCAACCTGGAGCTGGGCTGCTGAGTCGCCGGCGATGGCGTAGGCTGCAGTGGGCTGCCATAAGCTACGGTGAGTGGCTAGTAGCCAGCATCAGCTGCCGTGAGGAGCTGTCCAATGGCCAGCGAGCGACTGCCTCACCCGGGAAGAACGCAATGATAATATCAACATGGGCCAGTAAAGCGACGTCCTCCACAACTAGACTGAAGAACAAAAGGACAGCAACTTGTCTGTTCCCCATCCCCAATTCCCCAATGCTGTTCCCCTCTCCGAATCCCATAAAAATCTTTGAAAAAACAAACAAACAAAAAGTGTCTAGATGCAATGTTCTTTTGTAATTTCACAAAAATGCTTTGGAACACAAGGTCCAATCTGAAGCATTATAAGCCTTAAACATTTAATGTCACAAACTTTGCAGATATAGCATTGATGTGCAGTAATTACTCTTTGAGACAGCTGGAGACATTTTGTCCTCTTTTTGCAGATAGTTATACTTAGTCAAATATTGTCAGGCATTCTGTTAATCACTTAAGTTTCCCACAGTTCTTTAAAAAGACCATTTACTTCATTTTGGCTCACTCTTACCCTTCTGTAGTGAAATAAAAGTTATTTCTTCTGCTGCTCAAGCAATAAAAACTTAACTCACTTTCTCAACTTTAAGTTGAAAGATGCCAAATGAAACACCTTCTACAATGGAGCTAATAATGCGATTCTGTTGCAGTGACATGAAAAAGGTAAAACCTCACAAGTCTGATTTAAAACCAGGAAGATGAAATATAGAAATATTTCAACAGAGGAAACTTAAAAACACTGAAATGAATTTGCATTTCTGTTGTTAAGTAAACTCAAAAAGTCTGGAGGCTTTGCTAGAAATAAATGACAAGGATTTATTCAAGGGTCTTAGGATTTACAAACCCAGAACATAGCTAGGCAAAAACTCAGAACTGTTTCGACGAAAGAAAACTTGAGTTCTCATAGTAGAAAGTGCATTGTTGAGAATTATCTGTTCTGCTTTCTTAGCCCTAGGATTGGTCCAGGACCATTATCAGTCAGATGTCAGGTGGCCTGGATGACAGACACCAAGAGGTCTGTCTGGTCAGGTCCATCTGGATGATGGATGTCAGGTGGGCTGGATTTATGAAACCTTCAGGGGTTAATCAGGTTACCTGGACGTGTGGTGTATGCCCAGGCATTGACACAGGGCTGGAAAGTTAAGAAAGTTTAAGTTCCTAGAATACTTAGAACAATAGAGTCTTCCCTCATGCCTCAACCTTCCTAATGTTAATGTTAATAATTCTAAGCGTTAAATGTTAAAAATGTTAATGATTTCAGCAGCTTGGTAAAAGTGACTCCATTTTATATACTCTCTCTTCACTTTCCTCACTGTGTAGCCCCAAGAAGCTGAGCTGCACCAAAAGGCAGACGTTACAGGAGTGGATGTCGGCTCAAAACGAAATCCACCCCTCATCCAAACAGATGTGTAGAGTTAGACCTGGTGTGAACACTGCGACGACGGCTGTTTCGAGGACCACTTTCCTGAACGGTGGGTTACTACGTACTCCGATGGCCTTTCAACACGGGCCCACAATTAACGCGCCACACCACACAGCCGGTGGCCTTGGGTTCTCCCCGGGTTGGAGAAGCAGAGAGTCAAGGGCAGGTCCCTGCTTTCTCCCGTGTGAGGCAGCCTTGTAGAGAGAAAGTCGGCCTTTCCGCTGGGGTCGCAGCGGCCTACTGTCCCAGTCCACCTGGACACCTCTCGCAGGGCCTCCCGTAGGAAGAGTGTTCCGTTCGGAATACGTTCTTTTGTGGCCAAGAGGGACAGAGGCTGGGACGTAAGAGGCCAAGCCTTCTGGAAGGGCGACCCGAGGACTCTGCCCGCAGGCGGACCGCAACGCGGGGCGGAGCGCAGATCGGAGAGCCCAGGAGAGCGCCGGCGTCCGGGCGGGGCCAGGGCGCGTGGTCACCGGCGTCCGAGAACCCCCCAGGCCGGCAGCACGCATGCGCTGCCATAGCCCCCGACCGGTCCTCAGCACCACGCCGGCCCGGCCCGCTCCCCAGCCCCGCCCGCCGGAGGCGCCCGGGAGCGCGTAGGCCGGCGGGGCGCGCCGATTGGTCGTCCGCGACGCCCTTCCCAGAATGCAGCGCATGGCGCGTCATTGAAGAGAGACCATGATGGCGGCGGCGCTGGGGCCCCCAGAAGTGATCGCTCAGCTGGAGAACGCGGCCAAAGTTCTGATGGTGAGCGCGCCGCGGCCCGCCCCGGCCTCCGCGGCTTCCTGGCTCCGCCGCGCTCTCCACGCCGCCCGTTAGGCCTCCCAGGAGGCGGTGGCGTGGCGCGGGGGTCTCCATTCCGCTCTCCTGCCGCATCCCCTTCCTGGGGCTGCGCCTTCCGTGCTTGTGCGGGTGGGGGGAACAGGGTTTCCTGGGCTGCGGTGTCCATCCGCACCTGCCCGCAGCCTGGGTGCAGAGCCGGGCGCGGGAGCATGCGCGGGGCGTGTGCGCGCAGCTGGACTCGATGCCGGGAGTGCGGGCCGGCCCGGCCAGAGCTGTGAGCAGCCTTCTGGTCCTCAAGCGCTTCCTCCAGCCTTGGGGTAACTGCGGCGACGGCATGTGGAGGGACGGCAGCCGGAGGGACTGGAGCCTTTGGGACCAAGGTCACTGGGGCCACACTTTGTCTGTGCTCCCCCTGGTCGCGCGTTCATTTCATTCCGACACGACGCGGTGAACAGCTCTGAGTGGAGATTTACGCAGGGAGTTTGGGAAGGATGGCGGTTAAAAGGATTCCTCGCAGGGACTGTAATCAGGATAGGCTGGACTCAGCTACTCGTGAACTGTGTGTGTGTTTGCTGGCTCGGTTTTGCATTTTGAATTGACTTCCCTATTTGTAGATTCTTTTTTGGGGTTTAGAGGCTCATTTGATTTCTTGGATTGATCCAGCTGTGATCAATTGAATGCAGCCTGGTTTGTTGCCTTTTTGGACTTTTTTCTTTTCCTTTTGGTTCGAACATCACACTTAAAAATATTTGAACTAATTCTAGCACTGCTAGTAGTTCATTTATAAGGTAATTTCGCACACAACACCAGAGAGGGCATGAAGTTTAGCTCATGGAATTGACATGTCTAATAAAAAGCAAGATTTACTTGCTTCATTATAACCAAAGTTAAGTGAAATATTTTGTTACAAAACTGAATAATGTTTTCAGACGCTTGCAAATTAAGTCCACAAAAAAACTAGCAAGTATCCCCCTTAATACGAGGTTCTTAAGATCCCTGACTTAGAGTATTTCCTGAAATACTTGAAAATTTTTTTAGGAGCTAGGGGCCCATTTTCATTAGACCCCAGAAGGAGTATGTGACCCGAAACACACTGCTTTAGTTCTTACATTAATAAGAGAAAATTAGTGTCCATTATTGGCCTGAATGTTAGGATTTATGCTTGCTAGTGCCTCCCTGTTCTCTGGGAAAGCTAATTTTATCACCTATAAGGGAATAGCTGAGAGGAGTAGGAGTAACTACTGTTTATTGAGTGCACACTACACGCCAGACCTTGCGCTTGGTGCTTTACATGCTTCAGTACTCCTTGCAACAGCTTTACAAGTTTGAGAGAGAGAGTTTAAGTTGCATGAGTGGCTGAATTAGGACTAGAACTCAGATCTGCCTGGCCTTTTAAAGCTGGATCACTTTCCACTCCCAACTCACTACTTCTCGAACATGTTGTGTAGGTATCTGTTTACAACTTTCAAATATTTCCAGAGGAGAAGAGTATTGGGAAAGATGTGATGTTATTAAACATAGGAGGAAATTCTTTTTTTAGAAATTTCTACTTAGTATTTGAAAATGTTTACCAAAAATGTGTAAGAGGAGCAGTTACTGCATTATTTCCCATATGAAAGCTGCATTCCAATTTATTAATAATAATAGCTTATATTGAATAAGTACTTACTATGTGAGAGGCACTGTACCAAGCCCTCCTGTACTTTACCTTCTGTAATCCTCTGACTGAGGCTTCCATTCTCATTTTATAAGCTAAGGGGTTCAAACATGGAGATGCTAAGTAATCGACCCAAATTTTCCAAGAAAGTGGTAGAGTGGGAACTCCCAACTCAGGTCCATGTGTTATCAGACTGTCATTCCTTATCTATAGAGTAGGGGACTGGGAAGCAGGAAAATGAATTCATTAGGGGTAGTTACGATTGTTAAATCTCCTGCACTTATGAAGCATTAGAATATATTTTTTAAAATCAGTAATTTTATCATATATCCATCTGTGGGTCAGATGGCTGTCCATCTGAGGAAATCTTGTTTATAGAAAATTGCTATATATTTTAACTGTTAATATGTTTTGGGATTCAATAATTAGTGATGTCCTTCACAATTACTTTTGCTTAGTTTTCCCATTGGGTAGTTCATATGTTTTATGAAACTCAGCACAAGAGTTTTATAGTGTATACAGCAATCTCAAGAGATCTTTTAGTATAGGTTTTAGGGAATCCATAATGGAGATTAGAGGGAAAGTGAAAGCAAATTTTGGGGTGCAAACATACATTTTTGGTAACAGGGCCTGTAGTTTTTTATCAGGTTCTCTCAGGAAATAGCCTGAAAAATAAGAACCTAGTCTAAGCATTTTCCCTTCCATTCCATAAATGGAAAAACTGAGGTTCAGAAAGGTGGAAGTGACTTGCTGAAGGTAGGTCACAGGACAGATTAGTGGTAAGACTGGTCCAGAACCCAGAGCACCAGACTTCCATTTCAGAACCATGTTGCTTCTCAGAGTCCACATGTTATAATACCGTAAATGTTACATTTTACACTCGATGTGAAGTTTTGAAATGTGTTTTCGGATATTACAGTTGCTTCACTGTGAACATCTATATTCAATGCTATTTAGGATATTGGATGAGCTGTGAAATAATGTACAATAATAGTATATCAGCCTTTTAGAGTATTTTTGGGTTTTATAGGTCTCCACATAGTGACCCCCCTCCCCCAAGTAGTAACGGAATATTTTCTGTGGGTGTTTGTAAATATTGCTTAACTTTCTGATTCAAGACAGTGAGGTTACTTGCTAGAAAATAAATTTGAAGTAGAGCAGACTAGAATGACGAAGGACTTTTATAAATTAGTAATGTATGCAGTGAAATGATCTAATCTGAAAACATTGTGCAAATGGAACATTTTAAAAATACAGCCTGAAAACTTATTTTCCAAAAAGATTCAGTTGTTGGCTTTTGCTTAAGATACCTGACCCTACATTTTTGAGAGGATGTTACACATACCAGAGTTAATAAAGACCATAGATTTGTGCTAACGTTCTCATCAGTGAGACCCTCTGACTGTAAGAATTTAGCAGGTTACATTTACAGACCTGAAAATTTGGGGTTGTAGATACATTTTGTGTTATTTAACAATTATAACAGCGATTCTGGAACATATGATTTTAAAGCATATCGATAACACACAAATATACAGAATAAAAAGTGAGTCTCCCTCTTCTCCCTTTCCCCTCTCCCTAAGTTTAATTCATTACTGAGTTTGAATCTACTTGAACCTTTTTTCGATGCTTTTACAGTATACAATTTTCTTTTTTTTTGCATAAATGATATACCACAGATATTATCCTTGAGTTAAAAAAAAAACAATCTTAGAGGTACCTTTCTGAATACTAAGAAATTCGGGCTGTGCAGAAAGGTGTCTAGGGGAAGTAAAAATTCCCTGAGTTCCACTCTCTCTTCAGAGGCGACTTTGTTCTGTATCCATACTGAGAATCTCTAAGCATCTGACAGCATCCATACATGATGTTTTAAAATGTATTTTTTCACATAAATGAGATTTATGTAAAAGATACATATCATCCTGTACTTTGCTCACCTTATTGTGGATGAATTATGAAGGAAGTTTGTTTTCGTTGTCTTTTTTGGGGTGAATAAGTATAAAATGTAGGATGTGTTTTGATTTTAGAGACACCATGATGGCAAAGTTTAGTATTCCTTCAGCATTAATACTGCATCTGTTTGAACCATAAACCCAAAGGGTGCTCTGTTTGTTTATTGTCTTGAATTTCCTTGGTTTTGTTTCCTTGGCTCCCTTGGGCTGTTCGAGATTGTCCTCAGTGAGTGATGATATAAGGTAATGCAGAGCACATATGTTAACTGATACTTTGTAGGAAAGTGATTGCATGTATTGGTTTTAAAACTGGAATGGACTGGTTTTCATGGTTTTTATTGTAGTGGTATTTGGTTAATGTTTTGAAAGCACCTGCAAAACTGTAGTGCTATACACAAATTCTTATCACGTTGTTTGATTCTCACACCAGTCCTGTGAAGTAAGTAGGAGAGAGATTCTTTACCTTTGCAAATGAGAAAATCCGAGAGTCAGAGATGGTTAGGGATTTGCCTGTGGTCATATAGCTGTGTTGGATCTGGAATTCAGTCTTTGGCCATTTCTTCGTTCTAGAGCATTTTTTCCTTATGTATATGGGAGGCATTGTGAAGTGTATGCTGAGGAGACAGAAGAAAGACAGATCTTGTTTGCAAGGAGGGAGAAAGGGGAAACTGTTCGCAATTGTTAGGTCAAGTTTACAACAGAAGTGTATCTTGGTGTTCTGTGAGAGTGCAGAGGTGGGACATCTATCTCAGGATGGGGTGGGCACTTAGAAGGGCTTCTTGGAACTGGTGATCCTTGAGCTGAGTCACGAAGGACAAATTGGAGCTTTCCTGTTGGATAGGGGTATACTGGTAGAGGGCCCTGTTGGTCCGAAGGCCTAGGAAAACCCGTGTGTGTTTGGGAACATTTGAGCATTTACTTAGTAGGTGTTTTCTGAGCCCCTCTATGTATGAGGTGCAGTGCTTTTATTTTTTGGTAATCAACAATGCACATGTCGTAGAATTAAGAGTTTTGATTATAACATTTACTTTTCTTATTGGAAAGATACATTCTATTCAGTAAGCATTTTTATTTATTTCAACCTTGTCTTTTAGTCTCTGCTGTGGCACTAGATATTAGGAAACTGGCACTAGCAGAATTCTTTTTCTCAAAAAACAAGTTGGCGGGAAGTTTTCATTTTAAATTCAGTTCAATTATATGTGTATTTTGCAGTTGGACTTGTGTCAAACTCAACTAATTGGAACTAATTGGAACATAGCCAGTGGTCCAGAGAAGAAATGTGAAAAGACCTTTGAAATCATCCATAGATACCTAAAAGGCAGTTGATAAAATTTAATAGCATTTTATGATTAAAA